GGGTGAAGGAAGGGAGGAATTGGGAGTTATTTCTTGGAAACACCGGAGATCCATTGAAAATAATTCAGTTATATTTTCTTTTTCAAAAGTAATTGTAACAGAGGACCCAACAGGATGAGTGGGGTGCAGAAAAGTGACTCTTGGCAAAGGGAAGCCAGTTGGGGGGCAGAAGTGGTGAAGGCTGGAACTGGAACAGTAGAAAGGCTAAGAGGGAGAGCCCTATAACTGGGACCACTAACACCAGGATACAGTGTTGCTTCCTGGTTTAGTCAATGTAAGTGTTTGGCCTGTGACCGACCTCTCTAGCACCCCTCCCAGCTGTCCCCAGGCTGCCGCCCAGTCGGGTGTGCTCAGCAAGGGCAGACTGGCTGTAATGTGAGCCCTGGGCCTGCTCATGTTGGTGCTGCTGCTGGAGAAAAAACTTGTCTAATGCATTCCAGAGCCAAAGAGAAATGCCTTTTGGATTACCCGCAGTTTAAGCCTTTCTCCATGGCTCACCCTCTGCTGAGGAAGATCTAGGAGAACAAGGAGATAGGGAAAGCAGGGGTGAGAACGGGAAAGGGAAACCAGATGGGGTTGGGGGCCAGGGAAGAAGTGGTCCCTACAGATTGTAAATTCCAGGCCACAGAGGTGCAGGTTAAGCCCTGGGGAAGTCTGCAAAGAGGCTTCAGTTCTGGAGGGCCCATTTCTCACCTGCTTTTTCTTTATGGAAGAGCTGCATAGGGTGAGAGCCCACTGATGTTCAGCTAGAAGCTGGGCCAGGCATCACAGGGGACATGAGAAAATACTTGCCTCAGGAGCCTGTGGTTTAGTGGGTGGTAGCCACCCTGGCAGTGAGTCTCAGTGGGAGAATGAGCTTCCAGTGCCCCACTGTCCCCTTCCTTCTGTTCTTGCCTTTTCAGGCCCTGCAACTGGTTCCTCTTCACTGATGTTCTGAAGAGGCTGAAGCTTTCCTCAAGGATCTTTCAGGCCCGGTTCCCGCACTTGGAAATCACCACCCTGCCAAAGGCTGAGTTCCACCGGCAGGTTGCCTCAAGTCAGCTGCTGACCCCTGCTGAGAGGCCTGGAGGCATGGAGGACAGGTCTCCCCCAGGCTCCTCTGAGACTGTGGAGCTGGTGCGGTACGAGCCTGAGCTGCTGCGGCTCCTAGGGTCTGAGGTGGAATTCCAGCCTTGGAACAGTTGACGGGGAAACAGCCCCCTCTCCCAGTTCTTTCTCTTCCCAGGTTCACCCTTCTCCCACCTCCCATGTCTTCCCCCACCGAGCACCAGACTGCAGAATGAGGCAATAATATGGACCAACAAGAAGCCGCCTTATCAATGCCAGCATTAGTGACTGGATTTTTGTTTTGTTTTTTGGTTACAGTTAGTTCTCATCTCCCTGTCATCGTCATTGTTGTTGTGGTTGGTGATCGGGGTGGAAAGTTGAACTCCGTGTCAGAAGACAAGAGGTCCAAGGGTGGTGGGAGGTGGTGCCAGGGCCCCTTGGACTGGCCTCTTTGTATATGACTAAGACCAAATGTGAGCTGGGTAGCCGTGGCCTGTCCCGAGGAGAAATGAGAACAGCCCAGATCTCTGAGCGCCCCCTCCATCCCTCTGTGCTCTTCTGTCTTCCATAGTATTTATTTTATTAGTATTTAATTTGTATTGTTTCATTGGTTTCTGATAAGTCTGTATCACTGTGATGATTTGAGACAACTTGTTGTATTGAGGGACTTTCTTCTTTACTTTTTCTTTCTGGATAAGCTTTGGGGCTGCTCCCTCCAACAGTTATTCCCAGGTGGTTTTCCCCCGTTGGGGAAGGGTGGGGGACATCAAGTTGTGGTTAAAGAAGCTGGCTGCTGCTGGCCCAGAGCTAGGGGGCTGGGGGTAAATTTTGAGGCTTTGGTGCTCCCCTCCCCCTGCCAGGTTTTCTCCTCCCTTCCCTTTTTAACAACCCTGCCATCTTGAGGTTAGTGTTTACTGAGGAGAGAATTGTGGGGTGAGGCATTCCTGAGTTACTCTAGAACAGGAAGAGTTGAGAGTGGGGATGAGGATGTCCCCCATGCTTTCTTCCCTGCTCCCCTCAGGGTGAACAATATGGGCTTGCTCTTGCATTTTTCACCCTGTACCCCCACCCACTCCACCTCATGTGGCCTCCACCTTGGGAGATACTGAGCCTCTCACCTCCCAGCCCTCATGCCCCATCTCTATTCCCTCCCAGACTCACAACACCCCTTTCCCTCCCTTTTCCCTCTTTCTCCCCACCTCAGTTCTCCTCTGGAATCTATATAGGGCTCTGGGACTGATTGCCAGATGTGAGATCAGGTGCCAGCTATTTCCTAGGTGAGGGCATGACATCAGTCTCTAGCCTAGGTTCCACTTTCCCTTGGGTACCTAGGGCTGAGTGTATGGCCCACCAGGCCTCCCTCTGGGCCTCTAGGCCTCTAGTGCTGGAGAGAGGGAGGGAGAGGGAGGAGCTTGGCTTGTTTCTCTGTTCCACCCCCCTCTGTGATACTGTCTTTCCCACCCTTGTTCTTATTTTTTCTACCGATTGCTATTTTTCCGAACAATCTTTGTAGAGAATGTGTACCATCCAAAGGCAGGAGGGCCTCACTGTGGTTGGCTCTGGTTGGAGATGGTACAGTTTTATTGTACAGGTGCTAAACAACAACAAAAGAAGAAAATGGGGAAAAAAACAAAAAAAAGAAAAAAAAGCCAGTTTGAGGATGGGACAATCTGTTCTCTGGAGTTTCCTGACCCATTCAGGAGCATTGGTAGTTATTTTCTTTGTATTGTGTTTGTTCTTTGTTCCCAGGGGGAGTTTCTGGGCCCCTTTCTGTAGGACAACTTCCCAGCCCCACCATCCTGCCCAGTTGGTTTCGAACAGTTTTTCTCCCTTTTTAACAAAAAACAAATTATATATATATACATATATATGTGTATATATAAAGTTGAAGGGTTTGGATTTCAATTTTTTAGTTTTGTTGGGGTTTATGATATTATGTGGTTTATTTTCTGTTTTATGTTTGTCTTTACTTTTTTTTTCATTTGGGTGTGTATTCTGGCTGCTCTTTATGTTTCATTTTAAGCAACTGGCTATGGAGTCAAAAACACTTGCATACTGAAAAACCCGTGTCAGGGCCTCTGTCTCCTGTTATCTCTTCACTTTTCTCCTCCTCATGGCTTTTGGGGGTTAAGATGGGCATCTGGATTCAGTAAATGGGGGAACTCCTGATCTGCTTGTTAGTTGTGGTCCCTAGGGGTGCAGTGGGCAAAGGCAAAATGGCCCATGAACATTTCGGTCACTGGGTCATGATGTGGGGAAAAAAAAGGAAAGGCAGGGACAAATCCCAGAGGCTGAGCGGGTGAGGAAAATTGAGTGTCTGACTTAAGTTGCTTTGGTTTGAAGGTGTGTAGCAGGGGCATTCCTTGTTTGCTATAAGAGGACTGGGGGAGTAGCCCTTTTTGGTGGCCTATGAGGAATGATCCTAAGGAAATCGAAGACTACACCTGGCTGTGCTGTCTAATCCCCTGCCCTGCCCCTGCCCTTACCCTGCCTGTTGTACCAGTGCCTTCTCTGCCCACCTGCTCAGTGCAGTCTTCCACAGTTCTGGTTTCTATGGCCCAGCAACTATGAAGGCAAGATACCCAGCCTAGATTTTACAAATTTTCCTCCCACTTGGGAAAAACAGTGGTAGAAGCTATGATTCTTCCGACCGCAGGTTCCAGAATGTATCCTTTACTATTTGAGAGAAAGGGGATGTTGAAGAGGCCTGGGTGAGGTCCCCTTTTTTGCAGGGGAGGGGGATTGAGACAGGATCTTTCTAGGAAGTTAAGGCTGGTCTGGACCCTGCTATATAGCCCAGGCTGGCCTTGAACTCTATTCTCCTGCCTCAATCTCCTGAGTCCCTGGCCTCTGAGACCCTCTTAGGGCCCTTCACTGTGGGTTGAGCAAATACACCAGGGTATCTCTGTGTGTCTGGTCTACAGGAGTCCAGCCATCCCCTGGGACTGAACTGTGAGCTGCTCTCCTTGCTCAAGCCTTGGAAGCTTGCTTGTTTTCTACCCAGATACAGGAACATTATCGATCTTCGTCATTTGCTTTCTCCTTCTCACTTTCTGACCCCAAGTTCCTCCCAAACCACCCCATAGTGGTTCTGATTTCAGGACAGTCGTCTGTTTGGAACTTGCAGTTAAGAGGTCACACATGTTGGGCTGGGGGTGTGGCTCAAGTGGTAGAGTACGTGACTAGTAAGCACAAACCCTGAGTTCAAACCCCAGTACCTCAAAAGAAAAGTCAGACATGTTAGTAGGTCATGAAAGCCGTGTAAGGCTTCACCTTGGCCCAGAATGCTGTGGGAGCTCAAAGGGATGGACAAGGGCATGTAGGAGACTTAGGAGGAGAGGTGATGCCTAGTGGATACTTAAATAAGTATAAAAATGGGCACTGGAGTTGGCAGGGGATGTTTGAACTGAGGTGGGACAATCTGAGCAGAGGCTGGGAGACCAAGAAAGGAGAGTTAAAAGCAGAACTAAACAGCAGTTTCTTTTTTTTATGCTTCTGGGTTCCTTTACCCACTCCTTGCCTGGAGTCCTATTGCCCTTCTGCCAGGTTGTGAGGATCAAGATAGGAGGTAAGGACTGACACTAAAAATATATTTACATCCCCAATGGTGGCCTCTTATTAATGACCCCCTAATCTTTTTAAGAACCAGAGCCGTCACTTACTATCTAAACCCACCTTGGTTGAGAACCTAATCTTCCAGAGCTTTCATTGCTCATCTGCCAAATGGTGCACAATTTACCCTGCCTACCGATAGATGAGAAATATGGCTGTTTAGCTGAAGTTAGTTCCTCCTCTGTGCCAAGGTCATGAGCCTACAATTAATGACGATCTTACCAGAATGTTCCTCATCGGGGCTGAAAGAGGCCCTGTCAACCTCCGAATTTCTGGAGAGATGACCCTTATATGCTGTGTGGGGTAGAGGAGGGGCAAACTGGGCAGTAAATTCTTGCCCCTTCCATAGTCTAACCTAATAATCGGGAAGTCGGGCATTTCTGGTGTCCGGTCTTGACGTGTGTTTTAGAAACGGTCTCTGAGTCTGCCCAAGGGCATTCTGCATCGCAGCTAGCTGGAGATCGTGAAGTGCTTGGGTCTTCCGGATTGGGCAGCGGGGCGGGCGGGCTGGGACCCACGTGTTCCTGTAGAGCGGGTGCGGGGGGCTGATCACTGCAGCGTCCGGCCACTGGGTCCGGGCGCCTCTCCGGCTCTGTGCCGCCCAGCCGGCGGTAGGAACCTCCACTGGCAAATGGATGTCACTCTCCGGTTTCAAAGCAGAAAGCGGCGTGCGTGAAAGTGGAGCTAAAGGTAGGCTGGGGAATGGACCAGACCCGGACCAGGCGGACGGGCAGCCTTTAGCCCAGGAATAGCTTCCGCGGCAATAGGCGCAGAAGGCCTGGCCCGTGGCGTGCTCACCTGCTGGTTCGCGAGGCGGAGGTGGGGGGGCGGGGAAAGGAGCCTGGGGCGGAGCCAGACCGCGGCTGGCCAATGGGGAGAGGTTATTCAATGGACGGCTAAATTGCCCCGGGAAAGTGGAGGGGGCGAGGGCCAAGGGGAAAGTTTGAAGCTCCAGAGTTGTGGAAGTTGAGCGAGGCCGAAGCCGCTCAAGAGCAGTTGGGGGCCAGACGGCATTGCAGAGGGACTGGAAGACGCCAGCGCTGCCCGGTCCTCTGGGAGCCATAGGTCCCGCCCTAGCCGCCCCTCCCCGGACTCCGCCTGGCTGTCCCCCCACCGTCGCCGGCTCGACAGCGTCACCTGCTGGACATCTGCCCCCAAGTCCAGCTCGTCAAGGCCGAGGCTCGAAGAGGCTGGGAAGGCCTGGGAGCAAATGAGCTCACTCATCCCAGGCTCTGCGGTTTTGGAACCAGAGGCAACTACCTTCTTTCAGAATACGTGACGGGGCAGAAGGCTTGTGACCATCAGATTAACTTCTTGTCCTGCCACGCCCACCCAGGCTGACAGTTCCATCTCCCAGTCCCAATCAGGGATGAGGAAATGGTGGTGGTGCAGTCCCTGGAAGGAGTCAATGGCAAAGGGCAGGAGTTCAGGAGTTGCCCTTGGCACCTGGTAACAGCAAGGCATAGGTGGAACAGCCCTGGGCTCCTTGTGGACCCTGTTACCCAGGAGTAGATATGCACTTAGGCAAAGAAAGTGGCTGCCTGCAGACTTACGTGATGAGTCAAAAGGCTGTGAGTGCTTCTGAGTGTGGATCATCTTTCTCCCTCTCCTCTTGCCTGCTATAGAACAGGGTAAAAGTCCCTATCATTGGAATCAGGACTCATTCATCCTTTCAATAAACATTTATTGAGCACCTACTCTGTGCTAGGCACTGTGCTAGGCACTGGGGATACATCAGTGACTAACACACAGTCCCTGTCCTTGAGGAGCTCACAGTCTATTGGAGGGGAACCATACATAAACACATAATTAAGGAGCTACAATGTGCTACATGCTATGATAAGAGGTATATACAAAGTGCTGTGAGAGTCCAGAGGATAGACTAAACAGATCAGCTGCTGGGAGGCGAGGAACATCACTTGACTCCTGACTCCACTAAACCATTGCAAAGGCAGGGGCCATGTGACTCCTCCTACCCTCTCCCATAACTATATCAGCACAGGTTAGTTTATCAGATTAGCTAGTTTAACACTCTGAGTAGGAAAGAAACTGAACAGGGAAGTTTCTGTAGGGAAAGAGGATGTTCAAAGTAGTTAGAAATCTTGAGTGCTAATATGGGAGGTGGGGTGAGGGTACCACGAGGGCACTGAGCCAAGGGAAGGGAGGCCCTAGGCAGTGGAGCACCTAGGGCATGTGCCTGTGCAGAGAGGGGAGGTCAGAGGCCACCTACCTCAAAGTTTGGTCCCCATCTCCTACCAGCTCAATCCATAATCATTCATTGATGCTCATCTGCTTGGTGGTATGCCCTGTTCTGTGGGTGATACAGTCCCCCCTATCCCTCAGGAGTAAACACACTGGTTGGGGAGACTAAATAGGCACAGGCCATTGAACATTTAAGTAACCATTTGTGATTATAATAGAGATGTCACCAGCTGTTCACAGTCAAGTTGTCCAAAGAGTGGCAATTGCAGTGAGTTTAAAATAACTCAACTCTTAAGGCTAGGCTGCTCTGGGGAAGCAGCTTTCATGAATTGAGTCTTGAAGGACAGACACAATTTTTAGGGGAATAAGAGCATTTGGGTTGAATAGAACCCGGTAAAGGAAAAGCACAGGTGGGAAATTTTCAATAGAGGCATGTTCAAAGACCACCAATTCCATGTTTGGAGGAGTACACTCAGTGGGGAGGGCACACTGTGAGTGGGCTGGGGGTGTCAGCTAGGACCCAATAGGAAAGGGCCAAGGACTTGGGTCTTTGCATGAAGGTGGGGCTGCTGCCAAATTTAAGGTCCTTCTGGAATTACTGCCCTAAGCTCTCTGAGTGCTCCCCCATCCTTCCTGCAGGACCTCTGGACTACTGCACGATTCATCAACTAAAGGGTTAATGTTAGGCCTCTAGAAGTGTTGGAGGGTAAGTGTTTTGAGTACCACCTCTTCCTGCAGGCCAGGAGGAGTCACTGAAGGCTTTTTAGCAGAGGAAGGACTGAATCCTCCCCTGGTATGAGGGAGGCCACACTAGGAAGAGTTGTTGATGTGTCTGGGTAACATGAATCAAGCCAGAGGCTGTGTGAATATGGAAGACAGGTCAAATTTTAGAGATATTGCAATCATGCTGGACTTCAGAAGATGAGAGAGGGCAGGGTCAAGTGAAGGCAGCTGTCAGCTCTGAAATCGTGAGCTTCAAAGGTCAGGAAAATAGTGGTACCATTAACAGAAAAAGGAAGTCATGATGGCCTTTCTTTTTGGAGGTACTAGGGTTTGAACTTGGGGCCCTGTGCTTACCAGACAGGCGCTCTAACACTTGAACCACATCCCCCAGTCCCCCCCCCCTTTTTTTTTTGTGAGTGTGGGAAGAATTTAAAAGTCCGCATTTGATAGAGGGGCTGACATATTTAGGTGGAAGTGTCCAGCAGATTGCTAGAGCAATGAACCAGGGGCTTAGGAGAAAAGCAGGGGCTGGATTTAAGATTCATCCCAAAGAGCTGGGCCATGTGACTACAAGACTCTTGGGGAACACCTGCGTTGAAAGGGGAGCTGAGGTGCCTGCATAGGCACAGAGAAAGGACGATGGGGGATGAAGAGCCCAGCTAAGCAAGGACTCAGAACTATGAAGAAGACTTTGATTTCACCATGAGAATATTGATAGCCTTCAGATGATGAGTTTCTTTTTCAGATGATGAGTCCGGAGGGGGGTGGGTGGGGGCGGGGGAGAGAACAGAAATCAGATTTCAGACTGGGGCAGAGCCACTCCTCACCCATGCTGTGCCTTTGTGTGCACTGTTTTTAAATGCTGACCCTCATTTAAGGTGCTTATTTTCAACCATCAGGAGATTGTGATAATCTGCTTTTATTGGAAAAAGGCACTTCAATGCCAACTGCTGGAAATGTGTAGTAAATGCACCTGCACAGCCTTTATATGGTTCCCTCCCCAGGGAAGGAGAGGGGAAAAGAGAGCTGGAGAGAATGATGACCAGAAGAGAAAAAAGAGCAGCTGGGGAGGTAGTTAGGTCAAGTGGCTGTTTTGGCACTGAGGACATACATAGCAAAGGTCCTGAGGCACTGATTCACATTAACTGAATTCACTAGAGAACAGAGTTGCTTCTGAGTCTGACACTTCTTAACCTTGCCCCGAAAGTTGGCAGGACAGAGGCAAGCAGACTTGAAGAAGGGAGAGGGGAAGGGATCCTGGCCCTTAGCAGAGGGTTGATTTTAACAGAGAGTAAGTTGACCCTTCGCAGATAGAGAAAAGAGGGAAGCAAGGAGCCACACTCAGACAGGAGAGGCGCCATGGGAACTTGTATGTGCTGGCTACTGTCTTCTTGGTGAAGAAAAAAATCAGTTAGGTGTGACAGTTGAAAATGAGCAGTGGTCCACTGAGGCATGTACTGGAGCCACCAAGGTAGGGGGCTGGCACAGCTCTGAGGTGAGAGGGTAGGATGGGCAGTAGAGACTATGCAGCAGGTACCCCCTTCCCCCAGGCGCACTTGCAGGAGCAGAAATGAAGGCAGACACAAGTTGGTTTGCTGCCTGACTAGCCTCAGCAATGCCTGACAGTCAGAAAATCCCAGGGTGAAAGTGATGAAGAAGGAGCCTGGGGTGGGGTGTGGAGGACAGCATGCCAAAGGCTACTCTTACACAAACAGCCCAAGCCTTGGGCACAAATCTTCAATGAACTCAGCCCTGGCTGGGGCCTTTCTGACTGGGGCTGACTCTAGGTAGGTGCTTTGCCCGCAATAATCCTTCAGCAAAGCACTTCAGGCTCCAACCTGCCAGCATGGCGACTGTGGCAGGCAATGGAGCAGTCTGTGGAGGTTGCTCCCAGGGCTGAGTTCTCTCCCCTCCCTCCGTGGTTTTGGCTCACTTGTCCTTCTTGCCTCTTAGGAGTGCATCTTCCCAACATGCGCATCCATTGGAGCTCTCCTGTGTAAGACCTGTTTCAGTTCTGTGACATCTCTCCAGATTTGGGGGATCCAACCTGTGCATAGTCTCAGAGCAACTGAATCATAGTTGTATAAAGAGAAGGAGAGAATGTTTTCCCTTAAAAACAGTCCTATCCTATGGCTGATCCATGGATACACACACACACAGACACACACACACACACACACAGACACACACACACACACACACACTTGAAGACCTCGCAGCTACACTACCATCCTCCCCAAAGAAACAAAGATACAGACCCACAAGTACACACAAATACAGACAGAGATATTCACATATGGGGTAGTAAGTTCCCTGTGGAGGGAATATAGATGGTGAGATACAGCCAGGCCAGATTCTTCTTATGAAGTCGCCTGCTGGTCCTGGCTACAAGCTTCTCCCTGGTTCGGAGTTTCCCCTCCATCACCGAGTCAGCTCATCATTCTGTCAAGAGAATACGCCCTAGTGCTCCTGAAGACCATGGTCTGATGCCAGGGATGCTCAAACTGGGCATAGCTTGACCACAGTGATAGGGGGACTGGGGATCAGGTGTATCAAATCCCACTAAATGTAAGGGCAGGTACGCTACTTCAGTCAGTCCATGTGAAAATGCTGCTTATCTTCTCCTGGTGGGCCACACTTCTGACCCTTCTGTTTATATGTCATGGGGCTCCATCTTAATAAGGGAAGTGGGGTTGAATGGGGAGAAGGGAGCTGGGGTTGGGGATCTGGCCAGCAAGTTCCCAGATGTGGTCACGCTAGGCTCAGCCATTAACAGGGACCCTGAGCCTGAGGAGAGCTCAAGTTCAGCCACTGGGGTCAGCCCAACAGTGGGGCGGCTGGGGGGAGAGAAAGTCTGGTTCCCCATAAGGCTGGGGTTGTGGGAGCTCCTTGAAAGCACCTGGGTTGGAAGTGGCTGAAGATGAGCCTGATCTCTCAGGAGCTCTCTCAGGGTCTCTTCAGGAACCAGCAGCCCCTCCATGGGAGCCCCAGTCACCATTCCCTGCACATATGAAGAGGACCTCAGTGGCCCCTCCTTGACCCCAGGAGCTGCTGTGGCGCTGGAAGTCCTGATGAAGGCAGCAATTACAGTCCCGGGTGGCTGAGAGCTGGGCCCCGCTGGTCCAGCGCCTGTGGCCGAGGGTGGTGCTGTGTTGGTTGGACGGTTGGCCCCAGTCAGAAGTTGAGGGAGGCCACTGAGAATGAGTGGAGCCCCAGGTGCTGCCACCTGGTTCTCTTGGAAACTGGTATTCAGGGGAAAGGAGGCCTGCAAAGTGAAGGTGTCCTTGAACGTTGACGCAGGTGGAACACTCTGGAGAACAAGCTGAGTGGGAGCAGTAGTACTGGCGGGAGGCCCATTGGTCAGCACCGTAGTCAGTGGGATGGTCTGCAGGGTCACAGCAGAGCCCGACCCCACAGGGGCAACTCCTAGGTGGATATTGCTGGGCACTGAAGAAGTACTAAGAAGAGACAGAAAACAGAGTTGGTTAAGGCAGGAGTCATCCCAACTGGCCAGGAAGGAGGGCACAAGAGGGACAGAACTTGCAGGTGTTTTGTGTCTTGGTTGTTGCTCTAGCTAACACTTATCAAGTACTTTGAATAGGTCAGAGATCATTCTAAATGATTGACATTTCTCAAACCTCAAAACGGCCCATGAGTTGAATTATTCTAATTTTACAGCATAAGGAAACTGAGGCACAGAGTGGTTATATTACTTGCCCTAAGACCACATGGCCTTGTGAACCCCAGAGCTCATGTTCCTCCTCATTCCACTCTACTGCCTGCCCTCCTTGGAAGAGCATCCCTGTGACCCACACCAATGTAGCAAGAGGTGTCCTTGCTACAAGGTCCAACCTTTACAGGGAAAACTGCAGGCCCCTTAGCATGGAAGAGAATAGGGAGAGCTTTCTGGGAGGCCTGGAAGGCAGAGAGGCATATTAGCAATGTTCTCTATTGTGGAGGGGAAGAAGCTTGACTGGGTGGGCCTAGATGTGGAACCCCAGGTGGCTCCTTGGATCGCACTCTGGTGTAACAATAACAGACCCAGCTGGCAGCAGAAGCTCCCAAGTCAAGTGCTGGCTGGCTTTGGAGTTCCTTTGGTGTGTAATCTCAGGCAAGTAACCTTTCCTCTCTTGACCAAAAAGTATCCTACTGGCTTTTCACGGGTTCTATAAGGATCCCATAGGACTAGAGATACAGCAGAGTTTTGGAAGGAGTTGACAACTGACCCCCATCACAAAGGACAATGAGAAGACTCACAGTTACTTTGGTACCCTTACCTCACAGCTTTGGTGAGGTTGGCCTGGCTCTCTGCTGGAGAGACAAGCATGGTGGAGGTAGTAGGGACCTCCTCATCTAGAGACAGTCCCAATTCCAGACTTGCAGATGGTCGGAGACCAACATGCTGAACCTTTGGCTTCTCCCAGGAAGGGCCACTTTTGCCTTGGGGGGCAGCTCTGGATGAGACCCTGGAGCTGGCTCGCCGGGTGGTGCTAGTGGAAGATGCGGAGGAAGTGGAGGCCTGAGGGGGAGCTGCTGGGGCTTCAATTCTCTCTTCCTCATCTTCAATCACCACCAGGTCCTTGGGCATCTCCTTAAACTGGTACACCAGCCTCTGCCCTTCCACTTTGGCCAGGATGCCTCTTTGATAGTAATATCTAGGGAGAGTGGAGGGGGAGAGTTAGTCGGCATCTGAATGGGGAGGTCTTCCCTCTCCATCTGCCCAGCACACTGCTCTCCAGGGCAAAGCAGATGTGACACTGAGGCTGGCCAGGAACCAGGCCAACTCTTGGACACGGAAGGTTTTTATAACATTTCTGAGATTTCCCTCTGCAGACTCAAAGGATATAGGAAAAGAAGTTTCCAGTGTCAACTTCCATTCTGCTTTGGGGATGAGGACAGGTTGCAAGGGGTGGAAGTATGAGTAAGGAGGATGGAGGGCGGTGATTCAGCAATCCCTGGGTCTGGGAGACCAAGGCCATCCAAGGGCAATCCAAGGCCATCTTCCTGGTTCTGTGGCTTGCAGAATGTGAAGAAAGCTCTTCTTTTGTTTTGTTTTGTTTTTGGTGGTACTGGGGTTTGAACTCAGGGCTTCACACTTGCTAGGCAGGTGCCCTACCACTTGAGCCACTCTGCCAGCCCAAGAAAGCTCTTCTTGAGGGTGAGGGGGGTAGAACTAAAATGCCCTTTAAGGACAGAGATGCAAGAGGAAAGGGATTTAAGCAGGGCATAGTGGTTTATGCCTGTAATCCCAGATATCAGGAGGCAAAGGCAGGAGGACCAAGGTCTGAGACCACCCCAGGGGGAAAAGCACAAGACCCTATTTGAAAAACAAACTAAAAGCAAAAGGACTTGGGGGAGATGCTCAAGTGATAGAGTGCTTGCCTAGCAAGCATAAAGTCCCTAATTCAATTCTCAGTACCACCAAAAAGAAGAGGAGGAAGGGGACCTTACTTCCAAAAGGGGGCCTGGGCAATGGGCGTGGGGGTAAGCAAAAGGGAGAGTTGAGATTAGTTTCCTTAAAGGACTGATCAGGCCTCCATTAAAGTGGGAGAGCCTCCTTTGCTGTAGGAAGAGCTTGGTGACTTCCCCAGGGCAGGGGATTCTGTGTCCCTGAAGCTCCTACCTTAGTGCCCGGCCCATTGTCTCATAGTTCATGTCAGGCTTGTTTTTCTGCTTCCCCCACAGCTTGGACACAGCTTTGGAGTCCACCAATTTGAAGATGCCTTTCTCTCGCTGGGTCCACTTGATGTACTTGGGACAGGTGTTTCTGTCTTGCAGCAGTGCCAGGAGGAACTCCCACAGGTAGATGGTGCTTCCTGCAGAGGGGCGGGCAATGAGGGGCAGCTCAGGCCCTTTGGCGGCAGGCTAAGGGGTTTCCTGCCCACCTCACTTGACTCTCAGCCATACCTTTGCCATCCTTCGATTTCTTCCGTATGGGGATGCTGGGATCAGTGACAGGTGAGGTACTTCGGTTGCCCTTTGTCTTCCGGACTGTGAAGAGGTGGGGAAGCAGAATGAAGCTGAGGCCTTGGAGGTCTGGCCAAGTTTGGTGTGACAGAACCAGCCAGGAGGAGCCAAGTCACCAAGGCTAGAAGCCTGATCATTTTTCCACAGCCACAACCCCCATGTATCTGCACAGCAGGGAAATGCAACGCTTGCAAATGAGCCATCTTTATAAGAACAGAATGGGAAGCCAGGTGTGGTGATATACACCTGGACCCTACTAAGGCAGGAGGATCGCAAGTTCAAGGCCAGTCTGGGGCTACATAGTAAGAACATCACACACACACACACACACACACACACACACACACACAAACAAATAAAACAACAACAACGATAACAATAACAAAATGAATGGGAGACAGCCCAAAGGTATTACTGTTGTAAGGGTTAGTGTGGCATTGAGGTTTCGGTAGCCAGGCTGGCAAGGCCATGGCCTTAGTAAATCAGTAACACTGGGGCTTGGGAAAGCCCAAAGTCCTCTCATATATGGCCTCAGTTTCATAAGCTCCACAGAAGGGAAACAAGCACATGACATGACTGGTGTTTTTGTTGTTTTGTTTTGTTTGAGACAGGGGTTTGCTATATAGCCCAGAATGGCCTCAAAGTTGCTATGTAACCCAGCTGGCCTCAAACTCGTGATCCTTCTACCTCAGCCTCCTGAGTGCTGCGATTACAGGTGTGCACCATTATGTCTGGTTGGCATGACTCATGTTTTATAGGCAGAGGCTCCAGAGGTCCAGGCACTGGCCAGGGTCAGGCCTGGTGCCCCAACTCCCAGCTAAGATTCAACCCACTGGGGTAACTGGCATTTCTGGAGGAGTTTACACATGAAAGGCAGAAAGGAGCAGCATGGGAAATGCCAGGATTCAGAGCAGGTCAGCCAATGAGGCCAGGTTTTACAGAAGACAGGCATTTTGGTTCATCCCTGCCAGACCAGAGAGATGACCTCTTAACACATCTGTGAGCCTCAACCGCTCAGCCCTTGGGGTCACCCTGGCCCCCCACCCGCTCCCTTGAAGACACACACACTCCTCCCCTCCTTACTTCTCTTCTTTGATTTCCCAGTTTTCTTAGGACTTTCCTCTCTGGGGACCCTCTCCTCCAGAGAATGCTCCTCCTGGTCACCAGTGTCACTGGCCCTATTCAGGGCATCAGGCTCAGAGGCAGGAAACAGGTAGTTGGGCAGAGTGACGGCTGGGGCAGGGTCTGAGTCTGGAAGCATTTCGGAGGTGCTGACTGCAAGAAGAAAGGCCTGAGGTGGGGGGGCTCAGGGCAGGGCTGGAGCTTGGTCTCCAGCACTGCTGCTTAGGAATAACATAGTGTGTACCTGGGGAGGGTAGGGGTACTGTTCCTCACAACCCCAGACCTAGGATATACCTGAAAATGCCCCAGAGGTCTTGAGCCCTAAGGAGATGAAAACATCTACAGAGCCTGTGGCCGTAAGCTGGCCCCAATCATAGAGTCACATTTATTGCCCACTGCTGGTGGTAGGGAAGTTCCAGGCAGCATCCAGGGCAATGGACCACCTTGATTTAGTCATTCACTCATTCAACAACTTGAAGGGGCCTTAGAAATCATTTAGCCCAAGCTGGGGGGTACACACCTGTAATCCCAGCTACTTGGGAGACGGAGATCAAGAGGATCACGATTCAAGGCCAGCCTGGGCAAAAAGTTAGTGAGACCCCATTTCAACCAATAAGCCAGCATAGTGGCAGGTATTCCAGCTATGAGGGAGGTTATAAATAGGAGGATTATGGTCTGAGGCCAGCCCCACACAAAAATGAGAGACCCTATCTGAAAAATAACTAAAGCAAAAAGAGCTGGGGGAATGACTCAAGTGTTAAAGCATTTCCCTACTAAGTGAGAGGCTCTGAGTTCAAACCCCTGTTCTGCCTCCTAAAAAAGATTAAGGTGGTACATTTTATAATATATACCTATATCTACACACACACACACACACACACACACACACACACACATACACACATGTAATCACAATTTTAAAATTGGAGGAAACAAATGTATAAAACAATTTTTAAAAAGAATGATAATAAAATACCAACAAGGAAAAAAATATTGGGCAAAACCCCACAAAAGTCACCCTGGCTATCTTTTCCTTGTCTGCAATGCCCTCCTACCCCTCTCCATCCCCTGCCATCCCAGCTTGAATGTGTTCACATGTACATTGGTGCACGTGGTTGCCTCGACCTGCAAGCACATGTGCCTGGGAATCCAATAAGTGGAATTTTAAAAGGAAATTGTTTTGGTGCCTTGAGTGAAAGCACGGGGGTTCAAACTTACAGATCTGTTTCTCATCCAGGATGTCATTGGGAGATTCCACATTGAGTAAGACTTCAGTGGTTGACATTGTATGTGAGGTGGCCTCGTTTTCATCTGGTTCCAGGTTCCATGGGGAAGGAGGAGAAGAAGAATTTCCCTCAGGGAACGGTTCAGCTATAATCAAGGTCAGCCCATGCCAATGGAGTGGTAAGAGGAGGAGACACAGGGATTCCATAGGGTCTTCGGGAAGGGACCAGCACCTCCTGCCCTAATTGCCCACCCCTCAATGGCTCTCCACTCCACCTCATCTAAATGGTTCCCTATTCTGTGAAGCAGCAGTACCTTTCATTGGGCCCATTTTGTATGGGGTTACTTGCGGCCATCATGGACTGCTGTTTCCTGAAGACAGAACTCTTTTCTTCACCATACTTCCCTGCCCAGAAAGGGAACACACCTGCCAGCAGAAAACTGCCCTCCAGGATCTGATCCTGTGTCATGCACAAGGTCCCGTCTGTTATGATGCCATTGTGGACATCGTCCAGCTCCAGTCCTGAGTACAGATGCAGTAATTCCGGGTAGGGTACCTGCTCCACAATCACGGCTGGGAACACCGAGGGGTCTTCCAGCTATGAAGGAGATAGGGGTATGGTTCAAGGCCCACCCACATCTTCTAGAAAGCCCTCCCAATCAGATTTTAGGGCCAGCCTCGCTAGGTGATGCTTTGAGTGGGATTTTGATGACTAGGGATGGCTTAGCTATACACCCACCTGCATTCCACCACTGACCTATACCCCTAGCCTGGGCAAGCATTTTTAATTGGTTGGGTTAATCCATGGCCCAGGATTAGGGCTCAGTCTATAAGAAGGGTTAGGTACTCATTCTACAGCCAACGGAAAAGATTAGTTGATGGCAAGATTAGTTGATATACTATAGAGCACAAATATAAAATATTTACAACATTCCAGAAAATTCTATTTGATTGTGCACTGCTTGAGTTTGAAACCAAGCTCTGCTACTTGCTAGCAGTGTAACCTTGGGAAACCTAACTTCACCTTTCTGGGTGTCAATTTCTTCATTTATAAAACTGGGGTATTCATATTTTTGACCCCATAGGTTGTTTAAGCAGATCAGTACACATAAACCCCTGAGAACAAGAGTAAACTCATTAAATGTTAGATGTCAAGGACTTCTAGGAGATTGGTAATGTTTTGACTCTTTTTTTTAAAAGTGTAACCCAGGCTGGCCTCGAACTCGTGATCCTCCCACCTCATCCTCTTTGCCTTGTTGATTACAGGCATGCACCACCACAATGGGCTTGATTCTTAACTTATATGATAAGTACATGTGTGTTCCTTTACAATCCATCTCTTTATCTCTATTATCTATCGGTCTATCTATCTATCTATGAACTCTTTTGTATTCCTGACACATTTTACTTCAAAAATTGTTTCCTAAGAAGAGTGAAAGGGGTGTGGGAGTAAAAGCAGAGGGTGGAGGGGAGGAGCTAAGAATGGTATTGATTCTGAAGTAGGGGCAGAAGGGAGAGAAGGACTTCTTTTAGGTGACCTTTAGTGTTAGATATGGGGGAGGGAATCTGAACGATGAGAGAGAGAGAGAGAGATTAATGGTTTGAGGTCTTGAAGTGAGTATGAGAGGACAGATTTTCTAAGTGCAGGAGTAGGAGTTGCCCTGGGGAGGAAGAGGGACACTTCTTTTTCTTAGCCCAGCAGGGAGGAAACAAGAGCAGAACGTGTTACACATAAAAGGAAGAAAGCAGGGAAACTGAAGGCATTCTTGACTTTAGCTTCTCTGTGGATTGGGAGGTAAGAACAGTCTCTATGAAGAATAGAAATGGTTGCCGAGCAGACTAGAAGAAAGTGAACAATAGCAAGTAGACTGAGAATCCAAGTAAGGTTAGATTTTTCTTCCCTTTTGATCTGATGCCTTCCATGAAGCTAGATACAGCCCAGGGTCCAATAAAACTGAGCAACAAGCCAGGCGCCAGTGGCTCACACTTGTAATTCCAGCTACTTGGAAGGCTGAGATCAGGAGGATCATGGATTGAGGTCAGCTCAGGCTAACAGTTCATGAGACCCCCATCTCCAAAATAACCAGAGCAAAATGGACTGGAAGTATAGCTCAAGCAGTAGAGCGCCTCAGGTGGGAAGCCCTGAGTTCAAACCCCAGTCTCACCACAAAAAAAAGAAAGAAAAAAGAAAAAACTGAGCAACAGAGGGATGAGGGTATAGCTCAGTGGTAGAGCACTTGCCTAGCATGAGGCCAAGGCCATAGGTTCCACTCCCATGACCACAAAAAGAAAGGAAGGGAAGAAGGAAAAAGAGAAGGAAGGAAGGAGGGAGGGAAGGAAGGGAGAAAGGAAAGGAGAAGGAAAGAGAGAAAGAGAAGAAGGAAGGAAGGAAGGAAGGAAGGAAGGAAGGAAGGAAGGAAGGTAACCTGAGTAAGAACAAGCTGGACAGAAAGCACAATGCACTCAAGGTCCACTAGAGGGCAGCCTTTTGTAGAATAAGGGATGGGACAGCGTTCCATCTTCATGGGAATTTAGGATAGAGAGCATGAGAGTTAGTCTGGGATGCCACAATCCAGCCAGATCTTCTTCTGGAGAAGATAGAGAGATGCCAGCCAGATAGGGTAGGGGAAAGGACCTGGCCAGGTGACATGGTGGCCAACTGGTATCAACACTAGGGTTCCTGATTCCTACTTTTCCATTCCTTAACCATACCTGGCTGCCTCGTCTTTCTCCATTTGGTGAAAGGAGAGTGCAAAGTAGCGCTGAGTGTGCCAGCACACCATCTATCGGGTACATCTAAGTGCATGGAAAATGTGCCCTCTGAGTGCCAGAATCCTATCCTATTTCCCAACTTCTTCCCACCCAAAGACCACATTTCCAGTGTATGCTGAATCCTCAGGTCGAGGTTGAAAAGATAGTTCAGGATGAGGCATCAATTAGGCTACAGCCATGAGGGTGAAGATGCCAGGTCTGGGACTCTACCCTATAGTTCCAGCTGGCAGTGCTCCCTCTTGCTATGTGGTTGCTCCAGCAGCTTTCTCACTGTGACATTGGGGGTGAAGGGAAGTAGCTAAAACCTCATACGATGGTCAGCATACAGCTGTGCATTCCTTGCTGATTTCCTGAGTAGCTGCTTGACCAGCTTGGTGATAGCCAGTGTTGTGCAGAGGCATGTGGGCAACTCGCTCTCTAAATGGCCACCTGATGACTACTGGCTGCGTGTGAGTAGCTGCTATACAGGCTTGCTGGTAAGCAGGGCCAGTGCTGTGAACACAGCAGGTGCTTGATGGATATTTGCTGACTAGCCTGCCATCCACCCTGCTGGCTGCCTGCTGTCTATGTCCGCCAAATCATCTGCGTTGGCTGCCTGAGCTTTATTCTCTGGGGCCATACCTGGTGGATATCATCCATCCCGTTGCTTGCGAATTCAAAGACCAGGTCACTGGGCTGCAGGGTAATAGCCATGCCCTCTTCTCAGAGAGCTGACAGCAGAATTCCCCAGGGTCTCTGGAGCTGCAGTGTTTTCTTGATGAGATGCTATCCACGTACTTTGGGACCTAGAGTCTCCCCTGAGCCACACAAGTAGGGGACCTAGAGAGATGGAGTGGGTGGTGGCCTACAGCAGGCTCAAGGCTGCATGCTGGGCTGGGCCAACCACAGGAGCAACCTAGGGAGAAAGGAGAGATGGGAACTGTAAGTCACTTTCTTTGAGCTCTGTTGCCAGGATAGCTGGCAAACCTGAGGGATCCTGCTGTGCCAGGGCAGCCAGGACAACTGAAAGAGACCTGGCCTGGCCCTGGAGCATCAGTGGGATGAATCCCCTAAACTCCCTTGACTTGGGAAAGAGTCATGTTTGAGGGAACCCAGGGTGTGCAGGGTGCTCTTAGGCTCCATTTACCTTGGTAGTTGGAGCCAGTTAGCCTGGAGGGGCAGAGTCTACAGAGGAAGAAATGTTTTACTGTGTGTGTGTGTGTGTGTGTATGTGTTAGGGGGTGGGGTCAAAGCCTGTGGTGGCCTGACCTTGCTCTCCAGGAGAGGACTCTCAGATTGGGCCATGCTTCTGGAGAGCCTGAAGACGGAGGGGACATGTGAGCTACATGCTTTGCGTGCTCATCAGTACACCCTGCCCCCATTGCCACCAGAGAGGTGGCCTCTGTGCTGTGTGTGGGTTTGTTCTTGGTTCAGCTTTGCTTTCAGTTTCAAGACTGAACTGTCACCCTGGGAACTTGTGAGGAGAGCTCCGGCTGGGGGAAGGGCCAGCAGGACCTCCCCCTCCTCCAGGGCTAGCTCAGGCCCCTTTTCCAGGAAATCTTCTTGGCCTACTGCAGCCCACACACGTCTCTCCTTTCCCAAATACTTCCCTCTAGTGCTCACATGGCATCCAGCCTCCAGTCGTGTCCCCTGCACTCCTCCACTGTTGGCACTACTGCAGCTCCTCTAGGTGGTCACACCCATGGCCATGGCTGGCTCTCACAGTCCTGAGGGGGCGGCCTACCCCTTGTCTCCTCCTGCCAGCCTGCTCTGGCTCCTCCACCTTTCACACGGGGCTTGTGCACTTCCAGGTACCATATCTGTGGCCCTTTCCACTTGTTTGGAGTATGTGGTGGTGTTGGTGTGTGGATAACTACATATAGCCTGATCCCACCATGAACACATGAATAACTGGCCCTACACAACACACTGAACCCCACCTCTTTGATGCTCCCTGGGCAGTGCCACGGTGGCAAAACCTTGTTCTGGTCTGGAAAGAAATGAGGAACTTCAGAGAGGGGCAAAGGAGGGGAAGGGAAGGGGACCACGGGTGACCTCCCTGATGACCGCTCTCCCCCACAGGAGACACCCAGGCCTCTCCCACTTCCTTTCCGTTAGCCCACAGGGTTGGCCCCGCCCTCTCCCACCCCCACCCTCACCCCCACACCTTTCCACCACCCCAAGAAAAAGCCTGGAGAAGTTGCTCTGCTCAGCTCAGCTCAACCTGTAAGGAAGGTCTGAGTTTCCTTGTGGATGACCTACTAGGTCCACCCGCATCAGTGCTGAGAAGGAGTACCTGGAAACCTCCATCTTGAATGAGGTCCTCCCATCTCGCCCCACCCCCACTGACCCTGTCTGTGACCTGGATCCCCTGTGGCCTGCAAGGCCTCTGGGGCTATTTATGCTTAGAAGGTTGGTCTCCCCTACCCTAAGTGGCCCAAGGTCCTGCATTCCAAAGCTCCTGCCCTCCCATAGGCCAGTCTGTCTGCCCCCAGGAAACATTCGTGCTGAACCAATGAAAGGTGATCACTTTCACCTAATCCCACTTTGTCTAAACATGAAACTTGTGTCTGCTCCCTCCCCCCAAGGTCATTTGTTGGGTCCCTTCCTTCTAGGTCAGTTGGCTTGTCTCTGTAGCTCCTCTTCACAACCAGTATTTTTGTAAGCTCATTGCTGGTTCTCTTTGCCTGGGGAACTTCAATGCACCTTCCTTACCCACCTCCCTATTACACAGTGGTATCGTTGAGTGGGGGGTAACTGTGTTGATCATTGATGAAATCAAGTAACAGACATTCAATTCATATTTGTCAAATAAATACAAGAAGGAAGGAAGGGAGGGAGGGAGGGACGGGGGAGAAAGGGACTGGCCAGTGAGTGCCTATGCAGTGTGTTTTCTATGCAGTGCATAACCAAGTGTACACTGAGTGAGTGTCATACCTGAGAATGGGAGAAATGTGCAAACTCTGAGGTTACACTGGTATATTTTTGCATTGCTAGTTACATAGGTGTACTATGTGTGTTTACAGTGAGTGTGCAAGCACAACTGCACGTATACACATGTTCAGGGTGTGTGCATGTGTGCCAAGTGTGGGGACATGTGCGTGAGAGCCTCTGTGTGTCAAAGGGCTGCCCTGGTCTGGCCAGCAAAGCCACAAGTTCAATCATAGGTTCCTCCTCCTCTTGGGCTCTTAGCCTGAGCTGCCTTTTGTGAGAATGACAAACCCAAACTGATGCTGGCTTGAAGAGGCTGTGGTGAAGATGGGGGAGGGCTGAGGCAGGCTGTGGTTCTACTGACTAAAGGGCCACTGTGGCTGTGTGCTTCCCAGGAAGAGGCCAGCCCCCAAAATAAGTATGGGGCTCATGGTTCCTTGAGTGTACCCCTACCAGGGTCCACCCTGCTAGGGAGGTGTGGGAGAAAGAAGGCAACCAGGGCACTGCACTGGATTGGATGGAACCCTTGGCCATCAATGCAAAGAGAAGAGGCTTTTTTTTTTTTTTTGGTGAGTCTGGGGTTTGAACTCAGGGCTTTGCACTTGCAAAGCAGATGCTCTATCATTTGAACCACACCTCCAATCCATTTGCTCTGGTTAATTTGGAGATAGGGATCTCATGAACTATTTGCTTGGGCTGGCTTCAAACCACTATCCTCCTGATCTCAGCTCCCAAGTAGCTAGGATTACAGGCATGAGCCACCAGTACCTGGGAAGAGAAGAGATTTGAAATAAAAGAAATAATTCCACTGACATTCTTTTATGTGCCTGCATGTCTAAGAATCTAAATTCAAGACTTGGTTGGTCGGGTTCTGCTGGCCCAGTGTTGTGATCTTGTTCAGCCACAGCCTGAAGCTAAGGAAAAGGAGGATAGGGGGAGGGACATAGCTGTCCTACTCTCTTGACCAAGGCTAAGAGACCTACTATGGAACCTTCCAGTCCTGAAAGTTTCCCCCTCCCCCTTGAGATGTTTGAGGATTTGAAAGTGAGAGGTGGAGAGAGACTCATTTGCATGTTTGCTCACTCTCCCCCAGTCCCTCAAAATAACCTCCCTCTCCCAGGAACCTGAAACCAAAGAAGCCACCACGACAGAAGGCCCGCCCTGCTGAAGGCAGGAGAGGCCCACACCAGGGGCTCCTTTCTCCAGGGTCCTTCCAGAGCTCAGACACTGTCTTACCGGCAAGTGGAGACTCAGAGGACACACAGACACTTGGTTCAGGGAATCAAGGCTCTTGGGAGCCCTTAGTAACTGGTGTGAACTCCATCCCCTTGCCCCACCATTGCACAGCTCACAGATGGCTCCAGTCAAAGTCCACGCCCAGAGTCTGTCCTACTGGGGCTGAAAGCACTGCCTTTGTGAGTATATGGCCCCTGGGAGTAATGTGCATGAGTGTACCCCGCAGGAGGGAGCGAGCAGGAGGGCACCTGGTCCCTAGCCTGCAAAAGCACACCTCTGGCTCTCTGCAGTCTGACTGCATTTCAAAACCAAAGCAAAGTAGAAGTGGTTTGGACCGCTTCTGCGTCACCAGTCACCACAACTGGGCCCCCTTCAGAGGTACAGACCCTTCCTGGGGCTGTCACTGGAACACATCAAACAGCATTTAGCACCCACCCATCTGGGCCTCCCCTACAGGAAACAGTCCCAATGTGAAAGCCACGTCCACAATCTCTATACTCGTTCAGCTGAGCCAATGGCTCTCACAGAATTTCTGGTAACACCCGTGGCATTTTCACACATGCCAGGAAACATGGGGGCCAGATGGTCAGCTGGGCCACATAGCATATTTCTCCTCCAGTTCCTGGTCCTCTCAGAGCCAATCTCACTCCTGAAATACCTCATCCTCCGTGAAACCTTTCTGGAATTCTCTGGAAAGGAAGTGACTATTTCCTTCATGCCATTTCCCACTCCCTCAACACCCCTCCCCCACAACCATAAACAAAATGGAAACTACCCCAGGAACAGAACAGCTGTACCCTCTACTTAAAAACAAACCCTCCTCTGGCTAATAGTCATCTAGCAGCAGTGAATGTGCCTGCTGCATCATGTATTTACGAGTTAGAGGCTCAGAGTCAAGGATTCAGTCTGCAGTCCTGGACAGCAGAAGTAAGCCATTTGCAGGACTCTAACCCACAACCTTGGCCTAGCTAGCGCTGGACTCCAATCAGCCTGAGAATCCTCCTTCTTGAGCAAGTGCCCAGTGAAGGGGCCCCAGCCACAGCTATTTTGTCAGCTCCTTCTCCTCTGTCCCTTTCTTTCCACTGCCCCCCCTCCATTGGAGATGAAATCAGGAAGAGGGAAGGAAAAAAAATAAAGGTTTTGCAAGCTCTGTTGGTCGGGAGTTCTCTGTGCTTATTTGCAAGAACTTCAGTTTCCTTTCTTGGCCTTCTGTCACTGCCTTATTCCAGCATAGGGCTTGTCAAAATTCTGATGGCAAAGTGGGCCCAGAGCTCACCACCAACTGACCCCTACTTTTGGTCGGTCACATCTTTCCAGGTCAGAGCTGCCTGGGTGGGGTAGGTGCAATTAGGGCTACCCAGTGGATCCAGGAGACCCACTACCCACCCAGGCTTTCAGAACTGAGAGGTGAGAAGTAGGAGAGAAGTGCTCTCCCGGCTGCATCCCCGCAAGCTGTGTGACCCTGGAAAAGTGGCCAGGTTTCCCGCCTGTGGCTTCTGTTATCCTTCATGTTATGGGCTGGGGGTAATCTGGGCTCAGTAGGGGCTCACTAGGGGAGTCTTGGGTGAATGACAAAGATGATGAGAAAGAATTCTGAAAATAAAAATGCACTTATCCAGAAGACGAGCTTCAGGTGACCTCCCAGAGGGCAAGGGGGTAGTGGGGACATTTATGGCCCCTAACTCTGAAATCCTGGGGGTTGGAGGATTCCAGTTGTTGGCTGGGAAGAGACTGACTTCTCACCTGGGT